GGCGTCATCGCAGCTACACGTCCGAGACCCGCCGTGCACCTAGAGAGCTCCCACACATTCTTGCTGTAGCGCTGTCAGGCAGGGACCGCAGCTGTCACCCCCATTGCGTCTTCCGCCGCCGGACCACCTCTGCAGCCATCGACACACCCCGCCGCCATGTACAAAGTCAGGGCCGTCTTCGACTATGTGTCTAACCACGAAGACGACTTGGGCTTCAAGGTCGGCCAGATCATCTCCGTCACCGAGGAGGAGGGCGACGACTGGTACGTGGGCGAATACACCGACGACAGCGGCACCAAGCACGATGGCCTCTTCCCCAGGAACTTCGTCGAGCGCTACGAGCCAGAGCCGCCACCACGACCCAACCGAGCTTCGCGGCACAAGCCTTTAGAGCAGCCGCCTGCGCAGGAAGCCCCTCCCACGCCCCAAATACCGCAGCAGGAGCCAGAGCCAGTGCTGCCTCAAGAACCGGAGCCGCCAAAGCCCCAGGCCCCTCCCATTGAGGTGCCCAGCGCCGCCAAAACAACACCGCTGCCCATGTCACCCATGTCGCCTCGCTCTGCGTCGAGCGCAAAGGCTCCGGAAGCCCTGCCGCCGCAGTCGGAGTCGTCCAAGCCCGCTCCTCCCGCGAAGAAGGCTCCTCCGCCTGTCGCTCCCAAGAACAATGCCTTCCGGGACCGCATTGCTGCTTTCAACAAGCCCACTGATCCTCCGCCCAAACCCTTCAAGCCCTCTGGCGGCGCCCCTAGTTTCATCAAGAAGCCCTTCGTGGCTCCCCCGCCGAGCCGCAATGCCTACGTCCCTCCCACTCGAGAGGCTCCACCCGTCAAGACCTACCGTCGCGAAGAGGATCCTGAAATTGCAGAGCGTCAGGCGCAGACCCAGAACGATGCGGAGCGCGCGGGATTGGTCGCGCATGACAAGGCAAATGCAAACGAGGGCGAAGAAGAGCCACAGCCCAAGATTAGCCTGAAGGAACGCATCGCTCTGCTGCAGAAACAGCAGCAGGAGCAGGCAGAAAGGGCCGCGGCTATGCACAAGGAAAAGCCAAAGAGACCGCCTGTGGCCAAGAGGACCGAGTCTCAAGACGCTCCCGCTGAAGACAGCGAGGACACTGGCCTCGAGCGCGTGACAAGTGGAGCTTCTAAAGGTCGTGCATCCATGGACCAGAATCGCCCTCCGCGAACATCGCACGATATCCGCTCTCCAGACGCGCTCAACCGTGACCGCGATCTCCTCAGCGAAAACGACGCTGATCAATCAGCAGCTGGAGATACTGAAGATGCTGGAGGAGAGTCCACAAGTGTCGAAGAGGACCAGGACCGACCAAAGAGCAGGCACCCGCCGCCGCCACCTCCCAGAGCACCCACTGCCCCAACGGAAGAGCCCAACGTTGGTGATGAGCAAGACGTGCCCGAAGAAGAAGACGAGGAGGAAGAGGAAGACGAGGAGACTGCCGAGTTGAGACGCAAGGAGGAGTTACGCGAGCGCATGAGGAGATTGGGTGGTGGTATTCCCGGCATGCCCGGTATGCCTGGTATGTTCGGAGGTGGTATGCCCATGGGCGGTGGTCTTCCACCGAAGAAGAAGAAATCGACCACCGAGAAAAGGCCCGAAGAGACTGAGGAGTACAGCATGCCTCAGCAACGAGTTCCTATGTTTGGTATGCCTGGTATGATGCCCGTCCGAAGCCCAGAACCTGAAGACCGCACGCTTTCTGTCGAGAAGGAGGATGAAACTCCTCACCCCGTCACAGGCACTCACTCAGCAAACGAAGTGCCAGACGTAGAGGAGGTTGCATCTCAGCCGGCCCGGCCAACAACTGGCGATGGTCCTCCACCTGTTTCAACAGACCGTAAGTTTATCATTCCTCGCAAACCTATCCGCGCTTTTGTACACCATGCCCAAGGCCGCCTGCAGTCGCCATCTTCCGAGACCTTGTCAAAGACCTATGTCACCTATGACGGTCTGTCGGAATATGTGATGACTGTTTGCGTGTCTAGTATGTGTGTGCACTAGGCTCTATCAATAATTCCTACGTCTATTCCACTGTTTCTAATATTCTCTAGGACGTCCTGCTCCCCCTCCTGTACCATCGGCCTGTAAGTCACATCGGCTATCAGTGGGTGAACAATACTGACAGTAACTAGCTCGACCGGTACCGCCACCTCCTCCGCAGGTTCTCTCTCCTGGGCCCGGATCTGAGTCTGGTGATGAGATGACCGACACTGCTCCTACCCCGTCTGCCCCTTCCCAGCCATCCAATAGGCGAGCTTCGTATTTCGCTTCCGGCGAGCCATCTCAGGACTTGTCAGAGAGACGTGTGCCTCCCATTCCATCAGCGGGCCCTACTTCGCCTACAATGAGCCGTCCGCCTCCGCCACCTCCACCAACGCAGGCACCTCCATCGCGCCATGAAGATCTTCCGATTCGCAAATTGGACCGTAACGAGGGCGAGACTGACTACGAAGGTGACTATGACACCGACATGGCACCCGAGGCAACTCACAAGGACGCCTTGAAGTCACATGCTCGCGATTCCAGCGTAGAAGACAATACCTTGACGGACGAGCCAACTTCAGCACGCTCGCCCACTATTCCTCAGGGAATGCCGCCTCTGCCTCCTACTGCACCTCGTGCAGTTCCGCCTCCACCACCTCAACAGGCGCCCAGTCGGCCATCAACAGATGCTCCCCGTGGTGCACCGCCTCTCCCACCGGTACCACCACCGACTCGCAACGCCCCTATGGACGATGACGATGAAGAATATGACCCGTTCAAGTACACTGGCCCACCCCTTCCGCAAGCCGCGGCGCCTCCAGCTCCTCGAGCAGTGCCACCGCCCCCACAAAGCCAGCCTCCTCCCCCGCAGAATCGCCCACCACCACCCATGCCACCATCGATGCCTCCTGTACCACATCGTCAAGCGGGTGAATCAGATGAAGAGGATGATTTGTACTCTTCCCCGCCAGCTCGGAAGTCTCACGATAGGCCACCGCCTCCACCACCTCAGGCTCCTCCACACCAGCATGCACCTCCGCCTCTTCCACCTCTACAAGCTCCGCCTCCTCCAGCTCAAGAAAGAATGGTCCCGCCGCCACCGCAGGAACGCCCAGTTTCTATGTTCTCGCCAGTCGCAACGGAGGCACCGCCTCGGATGCTGAACACTCGGAAGTCGCTTGATGCAGCCCAAATGCTGACAACTCGATCTTCCATGGATCAGCCTCGCCCAGCAACGAATCAAGGTTTCATTGCAAACGATATCGATTTGGGGATGTCGTCGCATTGGTGGACCCAGCCTAAGCTACTTCCCCCATCACTCCAAGCCCGCAAAGACGTCCTGGTAGACATGAAGGAGTCGCAATCAGGCAACACTGTGGAGAAACTCATCAAAGTTCTTTACCTTGACTACTCACAAACAATCATTTCCGCCCGCTTCGAGTCCACCAACGTCTCCGATGTGGATCTTGAACAGCGCAATGAGCCGCCGCCTCCCAGCCAGCGTCCTGATCAGCTGGAGAACGCGTACGAGCAGTTTGGTCGTTCGATAGCCAAGACTATCGAGTCGAAGCAGAACACCGTCGTAGGCAATGGCACGCCGCAGGGACTGATTGAGGAGCTATTCAAGCCCTTCAATGACGCACTGCCTCCAATCTCAACTCGCTCTTACGGCGCGCTTGTGTACGCCAACCTAGCGAATGCATCAACCCAAGTATATGATGAGATCCGCCCTGGTGACATCATCAGCTTCCGCAATGCAAAGTTCCAGGGTAAGACTGGGCCAATGCATGCTAAGTACGCGATGGATGTTGGGAAGCCGGATCACGTCGGTGTTGTTGTCGAGTGGGATGGCAGTAAGAAGAAGGTAAGGGCTTGGGAGCAGGGACGTGAGCACAAGAAGGTTAAGCCAGAGAGCTTTAAGATGGGAGATTTGAGATCAGGTGAAGTGAGAGTGTGGCGTGTAATGAGTAAGAGTTGGGTGGGTTGGAACTGATTGGTCGAGCTGTCCGTTTGTAGGTGAAGAGCGAGGAGCGCAGAATTGTAATTAAACCTTTAGTATTGCGCGTCTGTGTATCCTAGCTGGCACCCTCCAAAACTTTCCAACGTACTCACCATACCACACTCTGATACCTACAATACCCCAAGACACCTACAAAGTGACCTTCACATTCGACCCCGAAGTCGACTATGCACCCGCGCCCTCGCCGCCAAAGTCCGCAGCCCACATGGGGCCATCTTGGAACGCCGTGTGGCGTATCGCCATCACCAACGCCGACAAGGTGGCCGCCCTGGCCGAGGCCAAAGGCATGATCAAGGAGAAGCTCCGGTGAGAGAGAGCAGTTGCGGCGGAGAAGAGAGAGAGGATGAAGGTGGGGGTTTCGGCCTGGAAGCTCGCCCGCGAGCTGGATGAGTGGAAGTAAGTCTTAATTAATCACACATTGACGAGCTAAGCTGACATATCTTGACAGACCGGTCTTCGGACAGTAGATCTGGGTGGGGTGGAGAGGAATTGGGGCCTTCGGGCAAAACATGTTGAGTTCCTGGTGGTGGCAGAGGTGGTGTGGTGGTGCGGGTTGGGGGGATGGCCCCGCTGTGCGCCTTATAAATATGCATAAATAGAAGTCTTCTCCATCATTGAGGTGACTACTTGTAATATTCTGTGATGATGACATTGCAGATGTGCTCAATATGGTGCTGCAGGCGTTGTTTTGATTGTTCTGGGTACCTCTGTAGCTGCCACTCCCCTACATCATCTCACACACTCAATCGGCACGCGACCTTCTGGAGCAATACAGTACGCTCGCATGTTTCCCTGGTCAGTCAGATCATCACTGACTACCTCCAGGGTGCTCTGTCGTCGACGTATCGAGACTGTGATGATCTAAGGTATCTTGCAAAGCTCTCCGCCCTTCACTAGCAAACAAAGGGTCCTGATACATTTTGCAGAACACAACCACCTTTGCAAAGTTTTCAACAACTCGAGCGAGCGACACCGAAATATGCCACCCAAACTCCCACCCACAACGAACGCTAGCGCAGACGACTCGGCCGAACACATACTCCGTATGAGAACGACGGTCTTCGATCACTTCCGGGAAACGGTACTGCAGGATGCGGCAAGAGCTGTAGCCCACAGCCTCTTCAAGAGCGATGAATGGGTCTTTAGGACGAAAGAACACAAGCAGCGAGCGGAGAAGATCGCGGAAAACCTCAAGGAGAACAAAACAAACGCTGCAGAAGTCTTACGACGCACCTATTGTGTCATGCGGGAGAAAGCAGGATCAAGCCGCTACATTTTTTAAAGCCGCGGACAGAGACCTACCCTATAGAGCGATCAGGGTCAGATATGTCGGCAGCATCGACCCAGAAATTGCTACCGACCCAGGAAAGTGCCGCTCATACCCCGTCGTCCACTTCCTCACCCCGCTCTTCGACACCAGTCTCCATGAGCTGAGGAATCCTACTTGGACGTTCAACACCGCTCACACCCTCGCCCTTCAGCTAAGCAAGACCGTCGCGCTGTTCCCAAAGCACGCGCCATACCTGCTGAAAGACCACAAGCTACTCATGTTTGCGCGACTATTCCTCATAGGCGATGAGATCGCAGCGTTGTTGGAGACAGTCGGTATTGAAGTGGGAGATAACTGGCACGAGCATACACGGTATGAGTTCCTATGGACATACTGCGGTGATTGGGAGAAATGGTCGCTTGATTGCGTTGAGCGCACTTACTTGGCGACTCGTAATGAGATTCGCTGGTACGTAGAAAGCGACGTTGATAAGGATGGGAACGTTATCGTGGCAGCGCCGGAGGATACAAGCAATGGCAAAGATAGTGATGGGAATGATGGCGGGAATGAGCAGGCTGAGAACGACGAGTATCTCGAGTTGGAGGACTGATAAGTATCAGTGTAGATGGATGCACATGTTGATTGGAGATGTTGAGTCTAAAGGGGATGCAGAAACGCAGTCGTGTTGCAAGGTATCGACTCGGGCGTTTACTTAGACGTTATTGTGTCTGGGTTACTGAAATAGCTTCAACCGACAACCAGACTCGACAATACAGAGTTGCTACTCCAGCGCGATGAGCACGCAGTGGAGGTATCTGGGACTTTCTGTGTATTTTCCAGATTGCTCATGACGTTGCAGCCAAGTTTGGCTACGCACAAAGACTCTGGCAGCTATAGCAAACTGATTATAGCACAGGACTTTTATCTTCAACCATGTACTTATTGTACCTATTCACATCAAATCTCTTGCAACAGACTTCACGAATGGACGCGGGCTCGGAGAAACCAGCCAGTACAAAGGTACCACCAAAGAACAAGAAGATGGCGCCATCAAGACCTCAGAAAGCATCCAGCAAAGCTGCAACCAGTAAGCATGGGAACGAAATATCTGAAGGAATGGCCAAAGCCCTCGAACTTGCTAGGGCCTTGCTAGACGACGACGAGGACGACGAGGACGACGAGGACGACGACGACAAGGACAACAACGATGCTGAGGTGATCGAAGCGCCTGAAGAGCCAGGCAACGTTGCTAGCAATCCGACAGCAAAGCTTCCTTCCAATCTACGAAAGAGAAAAGTGGTTCAGGACCTAGAGAAAGATGTATCAGAAGACAGCGGTCAGATGGATTTGGACGACGATGATCAAACTGTTCCAACGAATGAGCCTCTTAACAAGCGCAGGCGTGAGAGGAAAAGTAAGAAAGCGACAGACACAGTGCCCATCGATGCTGAAGAAGAAGAGCAGCGAGATGCGCGGGATCTGGAACTTCCGTCTAAGTTTGCTATAGTGCGATCAACGCTGACTGAGGAAGCGGCAAAGAGCGCGAGTATGGAGAAAAGTTTAAAGAGAAGTGACAACACTATCATCATTGCGCGAAGGAGGAGACTGAAGAAATCTAATTTGGAGGTATTGGTATGGGATGACGGGGAGCTGGAGTGGATGAGGAAGACATATGCTACGAAGTTGTACAAGAAGACCGTTGAGAGATACGATGAAGTCGAAAAGAATGATTGGAGAGATGTGGATGTAGATGGCTGGGATCAGGTGAGGGTTCTGAATAAGGTCGTGCTGATCGATAACCCAGTCACCCATTTACCCACAGCCAAAACGGAGGTCACTAGGCGCTTCAAAGGCAACGACGGTATTGCCTCATCAGTGATACTCCAATACATCTTGAAGAAAGTCTCTGAGCCCAGCTCTTGGCTACCCACACCAATGGCTGGCAGTTACCAGTACGCAACAGCCGAAGATGAAGCGACAGCGAGAAGCTGGAAGCCGAAGTCCGCCCAGAATTTCGTTGATGTCATTTTGAAAAGAAAGATCAAGGGCAGCAAGTCTTATGAAAAGGCTGACGAGATCTTGAACGGCGTAGACGTGGTATGGCGCTATTCTTCGGACAAGATTCGATTTGTCGGGGCAAACGAGAATCCACCATCACCATCAACAGGCATGACGCGGCGTATCAAGCTGATGGACATATGGGCCATCTTCCTCGAAAGGTTCCACATTTGGCAAAACGGTAACGATGATGGCGGCCCCCTGTCGACCACAGTAGATGTGATCCTGTCGCAAACTAAAGCCGAACGAAAGGAACTTGGGCGTCGCATGATAACCGATAGCCCGCACATTGCCAGGCTAGACTCATGGCCTTATCTGCTTGCACTGGTCTTACTTACGAAGGACGAGGCGGAAGGCGCGGAATCTGAGGCATCACTTACGCCTTCTGATGCTCGCTTCAGGGACGCTGTTCATACCTGCATGACCCAGTATCAGGAGGAAACCGGAACAGATTATCCTCAAGCCGTACATATGTTCTATCTGCTACAGCAACTCCTGCAAGCAGACAATGTTCGCGAGAAAATTGATAAAGAGGCGCTAGACAACCCTCTCGCTAACCGATCCGATGTCGATAGTGGACAACGTAGCGACTCTGGACATGACGAGGGTGCTGACACGGTTGGAAGTGGAGATGACGCTGCAGCGACTGAGCAGCCACTGGCGAAGAAGTCGATATCCAAGAAGACTGGTGTTCGCTGATAATGAGACCTAGATAGCCGAGGGTAGGCGCAAGAACGTGTCGTTTCCATCAATTGCCACATTTCATCCTTTCCAATCATCCTCCACGTTTGATGAACTCACTCGTGATGTATAGCAAGCTTGTAACAATTGGAAGTAGTGGCTTGTGATGCGATTGCTGGTACATAGGCGTCAGTATAAGAAAGCAGGTGCGACATGCCTACTATCGACGTCTCGTTACTCGCTTTGATCAGGTGACTGTGTTTCAAGCACAGCATGTCGAACGATAGCTCAGAGCCAACTATTGTCCAGCAGGATGATGAGCCACAGACCAAGCCCGAGAGGTCCACGACAGCAACCGACGAGAGCACTTCTTACCCCAATTCCGACACGATCAAAATCCCCGGCGACATGGCCGAGCTCTGGCTGAAAGCCTCAACCCCGAATACAAAAGATCCGGTCGTGGATGGTGGGATTATTGCAGTAAGGCGTTTGGCTGGCGGCGATGGTCACGTAAACTTCAACTACCTGTTGGGAACCGAGCCACCGACCTGGTATTGGCCAAAGCGTGTCAGCGTGCAGGCAAGAGAGGACTGGAGAGCGCTCCACACCGTAGGGTCAGTGAAACTCCTAAACCTTGTGATCAAGAGCCGCTTGGATATATTCGACGCGTTTCTGGTTGTGGACGGTAATCCACAGGTGGATCCGCTTCATGCTGTTGGTCAAACGTGGCCGAAGGAACAGGTAGGGAAGACTCGAAGCTTCACATCTCTTCGCCGAAAAGACAAGACAACGACCGAAGAAGCTGAAAGTGCTGCCGGAAGTGAGACCGTCAAAACGACAAAAGGCAAAGCTGCAAGCACCAGCGCGGTCCCAAAAGCGAAACCAAACTCTTCCATCGGCCCGCACAGGGAGTCTGGCACGATATCTGCGAAACAGATGCTTGAAGCTATCTTGGTCCGAGCAGCCAAGCGTCCCAGCTGGTGGTCGGCCAAGAATCTGAGAGATTACAGCTTCTATGAGGAAGAGCACTACGATATGGCTCGGGCAGTGGGCCTAGAAACACCTTTCAAGGTGCATGACCGAGTCGGGTTTCCCACGGAATGGGAGATGGAATACATTGGTATCTTACTGCGCTTTGTGGGAGAGATTGATCCATCATCTCCTGTCTCGAGACCAAGAAGCAATGATGAGCCCTGGGAGAGGGCGTTCCTGCCATCGAAAGCACATGAGCAACGACCTCCAGTAAACCCAACAAAAACATTCAAGGTTCTGTGGAAACAACTTGAGAAAATGAGCGTCGAAGATTTGCTCGATACTCCTCAGGAAGACCGGGAAGATATCGTTTCACTGATAGTGTACGAGGCACCACATACACTGCACGACGAGAGTTGGGTCTTGCTTCTTGTGCTCACTCTTGTGACAAAAGAGCACATCATGCGCTGTCTCCAATTATCCAGTATTACAGTTGGACGCGAATGGTATGACCGCTCTTGTGGGAAGCTCCTCCTTCAGCTTAAGGAATCTTGGGTAAAGGACATACCGCACCTGGAAAGTGTCGATGTGCATGCGATGTGGCAAGCTTTGAAGCAGGACATCCAAGAAGACGACGTGGATCCTGATGATTTGTACGAGGAAGACAACTCTGGCGCAGAGATGGAGCAGATTTAGCAGGACCGATTGTAATCCTATAGACTCTCGGGCTTAGAGTAGCAAGCGAGACTGTAATCCTTAACCAAGATAAGGTGGACGACACAAGTCATGCAGCGCTGATGCGTCTTTATCCGGACGACATCGCTGCTTCTCATCTTCTCCGCATTGTTCTAGGTTGTCGGCCAGCGTGCTCCCCTAGCATTGTCTTTGCCCCTGGTAGTCCTCTATGTTGTGCCAGCCTTTGTGAAATTAGACTGGTATGCGAAAGAACGGAGGACGACCGAGATAGTGAGTGTTCTTGGGGCGAGGAAGGCGTGTTCGGAATCTCGCAACAGTACGGTGATATCGCGGTAAGCGTGCGTGTCGTAGTATCATCCTGGGTGAACACTGTCATGAGTGCGTCGCGCCCCTCGCGTGGTAGTAGGAGAAGACCTGGAGAAAGTTGAGTAGAAGAGGGTCAATGTGCAGAGAGCAAACGGGTGCTGGATGTGAGCATCTAGTATCAAACGCGAAACGTCTTCTTCAAATTTTGGCGCGGACGCAATACTGCCAGAGCCCCTGATGTACGAGGCGTCGTTGTGGCCTACGGGTTCGCGTCGAATTGATGCCGAGAGCGCGAGCGCGATTTACGCCATGTGCGAGAAAACAAAGAAATAAGGGCGTGGCAACAGGTCGCGTTGTACAGAAGGGCTGACTGAGATGAGGTCGGATGAGAGTTGGTGGGTCGCCCGGAAAAGTAGCCGCATCCATGGCTCGCGCTTGTCGGCTTCAGGGAAAGTGCCCCCATCATCCCCAACAAATCGATGACGCAGCACCTCCCCTTTCTCCTCGCCATCCTTCCTCCGCGTGAAGGCGCGTTCAGACATTCCAGCTGCGGAGCCTCACCATGGCGCGACATGAGCAGACCGTCAGTAAAACGCCAAGTCGCCCTTCGCGTAGATGGCCCGGCGCTGAAGGTGGGTCAAGGGGCGGCTGCAGCAGGTCGTTGCTTCCTTATCGTTAAATCCGCCCAAACCCCGGGAATAATGACATATCCACAAGCCCGACATGTAGAATCCTACAAATACTCCATTCCCCGTCGCCGTAGCCAAGCCTGTGTATCACCGACCTCAAAGCTTCTTCTAGCATGACGACAGACCACAGCATAGACCCCCGGTCTACACCACCATCAGCACAGCCTCGGACGTCCCCAGAGCAGACACTGGATGTAACAGAGGACAGTTCCAGAAAGAGCGAAGAAGACGCCTTGCATGGCCTGGAGAAGGGCTTAGACAGCACTACGCCACCAGAACAAACAGATCGCTTTTTCGTGGAGTTCGATGGACCCAAAGACCCCGGCAACCCGAAGAACTGGACGCCCAAACGAAGATGGTGTATCACAGTTTCCATGGGCCTCATGGTTTTCACGGTCACATTCGCCAGTTCTATCTTCAGTGTCAACATCGGGATTGTCCAGGAGAAGTTTCAGGTCGAAAAGGTCACAGCCACTCTCGGAGTAGCCTTGTTCGTCCTGGTACGTTGAGGCCCTATTCGGCAGCCAGAGTTCCAATATCTAATATGAAAGGTTTAGGGATTCGTATTTGGACCGATTGCTTTCGGGCCAATGTCAGAGGTTCTGGGTCGGAAGATCCCCCTCATGTTCGGTTTCGCACTCTTCGCTATCTTCCAGATCCCAGTCGCTCTTGCCCAAAACATAACGACGATATGCGTAGGCCGTTTCCTTGGTGGCCTCTTCGCCTCTGCACCCTTGGCAGTCGTGGGTGGAGCTCTCGCAGACTTGTGGGATCCCATCCCCAGGTCGTATGCCATCTGCATTTTTGCCGCTGGTGGATTCGCTGGTCCGGTGGCAGGACCCATTGCCGGTGGCTTCATCGCCGAGTCGCATCTTGGCTGGCGCTGGACGTCCTGGATCACCCTCATCATGGCCGGCCTGTTTGGCGTTATTGGCTTCCTCGCCATACCAGAGACTTCTGCTGCCAGGATTCTGCAGTTGCGAGCCGCAAAGTTGCGTAAAGACACGGGCAACAACGAATACCACGCTGCTGCAGACGAGAACAAGTTGACTCTCGACAAAGTACTGAACGTTTACCTCTTACGACCATTCATCATGTTCTTCCAGGAGCCCATCTTGGCGTTGGTGACAGCGTACATGAGCTTTTTGTACGGCATTGTCTATCTACTTTTTGAAGCTGTGAGTCTGTATTCATACCTTTCTTGTTACCAGGATCTAACAACCGATAGTTTCCCGTGTCATTCTACGAGGAGCGTGGCTGGTCTCTAGGGGTCTCGCAGCTCCCGTTCGGCGCCTTTATAGTTGGCATTCTGATGGGCGCTGGATGTATTGCTTACAGTTCAGCGACTGGATTCACGCGCGCATTTCGTAAACACGGCAAGGTCATCCCGGAGGAACGCCTGCCGCCCATGATACTCGGCGCCATCGCACTTCCTGTCGGTCTATTCTGGTTTGCCTGGACTAGCAATCCAAACATCTCTTGGGTACCGCAGGTGCTCTCCGTCGCCCTTCTCGGATTTGGTTGCATGGTGCCTTTCTGGCAGGGAATGAGCTACCTCATCGACTGCTATGGCTTCTATTCCAACAGCGCCATCGCGGTCAACACCTTCATCCGCTCGTTTGCGGGCGCTTTCTTTCCACTGTTTACACATGCAATGTACACCAAGCTCGGTGTACCATGGGCGACCAGCCTTCTGGCGTTCATCTGTGTGGTATTCCTCCCTGTACCCATTCTGTTCTACATCTTCGGGGCGAGGATCAGAACGAAGAGCAAGTGGGCACCAACGGCGTAACGAGGTAGGGGCTGCGCCTTCTTGGCTTGTATAGCTCAGGTACTGTGCATATGCGTATTCTTTCAATGATTTCTCATCGTTTTCGAAGTTGAATGTCTATCTATTCCTCTCGGTCCTCATCTCAGTCCTTGCTTTGATCAGACATCGAATGCCTTTACGAGAAGGTCTGCAAACTTTGCTCGGGCCAACTCGTCGACGTACTCGATACGCTCATCCTTCTCTCGTCTCCTCAACTCCATCCAGTCCAGCTCTTGGAACAACTCCCTCAGCCTCCAGAAGATAGTAGCCCAGTAACCCTCTGCTACATCCACAGAGTACTCACATACCTTCTGCTTCGCTTCGCTCGAAACGAAATGCCAGCCATTGTCCCCCTTGGTGGTGTCTAGGCGTTTGGCGCACCACTGTGTCCATGTTTGGAGCCAAGTCGACTGCGCCCAACGAAATTGCCTCAGGGTACCGTCCATGACCACCCTCTGGCCGTCTTCTGTCGTGACTCGCAGGACCGAGTGCACTAGCACCGCGACGGGCTTATGCCTCAGACTGCGCCAAGACGTCATGAAGTTGACCCTCGGCCAACATCTCAGCCATTCTGCGCGCCCACGGAACAATTCCCCGACCTTCTTATCCACCTCCTCCTCGAGGACCATGCAGAACCAATCACACATGTTTTGCCGCGCGAGTGCTTCGTTGAGCCCCGGCGGCAGGAAGGAGAAGCGTTCAAGCTTTTTGGGCGGGTCGGTCTTCAGGTCTTCGGTCGACCAGACTTGCCACACTTTGAATGGCACGGAGTTGGCTCTGTACGCCCGTGCGTATGCGGCTGAGGCTCGTGGGGCGGCGTCAGCGGCGGCGTCGAAACAACGTAGGTAAACGTGCAGGACCTCTTCCAGGGACAGAGGTGGTGCGGTGGTGGTGGGATTGACCGGTGTCATGATGGAGATGTGAGCAGGAGGACGGCTTCTGCTCGAGTGTTTTGGTGTCCTGGAGGCTGTGAGGGTACGGAGGGGCAGCCACAATTTGTCTTTGGATTTTAGCGCTAAAGGTACGTCAGTGCATCCCTGTCAGTTCTGGAGCACCTTCACTGACGATTCACGATTACCAAGATGCATGAGAACTTTACTGTATTATCTACTGTGTCCAAGTCATTAGCCTATCAAGGGCCGCGTAAGGAAGGCTCGTCTATTTCGACTGCGCTTCCGCAAATGCCCCCTCGAACTTGGCCTTGCTCAGGGAACGGATACGTTCCTCCACATCGTCGTCCGACAGCCCACGGAGAGATGTCCAGTTCAGCTCCCGGAATATCTGCTCCATACGCCTGCGCGCGACTACCCAGTATCCGACCGCCCAGTATCCATGGCTGCAATCTTTGCCCTCAAGCCTCTCGCACTTGGCGACCTCCCCCTGTTCGTTCGTTGTCCAAATTTCCCTCGGGTTTGAGTACTTGGGATCCAGAAAGTTTGCAATAAGCTCTTTCCCTGTCATGAACCAATGTGTCTTCCAGTTTCGTCCATATTGATCGGCAGTGCCATCCAAGACGTGGTTCTCACCGTTACCATTGGATACCAATAGACAGGAGTGATATATCAATTGGTTCATCTCTGCCCAATCTGCGAGTATGCGAAAATGCGGTTTGGCTATGAAGTTGATCCAAGTAACCGTGTAGCCAGTGCCGAGAAGCTCTGCTCGCTGTCAGTCACTGTTCGAGCGCGCATACTATTTAACGGGCCTTGTTCCTTACCACAGAGGTACCGGATTACGAAAGGCTTCATCATGATGCAAAATGTCTCGCAATAGTGCTTGAAGACCACTGCGCGATATTCACTCCCTGGGCTCAGTCGTGTTGGATCCGGGCTCCCAAATTCCGATCGATCGTAGTCGAAGAGCGCTTCCGGAACACCGGGTTGTGACGTTCGGTTTAGCCATGATATCCTGATCCCGAAGACATGGCAGCCAAATAGCGCCTCTTGAAATATGATAAGATGTACGAGAAGGATCTGGCGAAGAGAAAGGGCTGGAAGGGTAGCTGCGACGCGCACGCCGGCTTGAGGAGACTCAGTGGCCATGATTGTGGGGGGAAAGTATCGGATTGATAGCAGAAGATGGAGAGGGTAGTGAGAGTTGCCTTCACATCTGCTCTCGGTGTGGGCGTCTGAGTGCCACAACTAGCGCGTAAACGGGGACGCGCATAGTCCCAGAGCAGCCTGTCTACTTACAACTTTGACCAGACTTTCGGACTGACCCGCCATCTTTTGAAAGTTCAGTCAAGTCCTTTCTCCACAAACAACATGGCGGCCATCGTTACTCAGAAGCAGGTCTTGGAGACAATACTGACTGACTGCGCCAACCACTACGGCGGAGACCCAATGGCGAAGCTCAAGTGAGTTCACCAGAAGCTCAAATTATCAATGAGCCAGCTAACGCGCGAATCTAGTTCTCTGCCAGAGAATTACTACACGAAGACGAAGACATTGGCGGCGGATAAAGAATGGCCCACCGCTCCTACAGCCATCGAGGATGCATGTCGAATCAAGCCAAAGGGCAAACATCCGCTCTGTCGCGTTCGCATCAGAGCAGCTCCCCACACGAAGAAGGGCAGCGGAACCTACGTCTCGAGCGTGGCCGCCTGCATGCACGACTATCCCTTCAATGAAGCCAACAAGGCTGACGCGAGCGCCGACGCGGACATGCTCCTGACGGGGCCCGCCACGGAGATCTCGTTCAGGTACTTCTACTTGCACCGATGGATGCTCACCAACGCGCCACATCTGTTCGAGGACGACAGCCCGCTGCTCCTTCTTGCCCTAGTCTTCCAGAAGACACGCACTGTGGAGACGCTCCTGGCCGTTGCTGGCGCCAAGGTCACCGAGAAGGAAATGGACGATACGATAGTGCGCAGCATGAGACTGTACCAGCAGAGGTCTGGAATACTTGGATGGGCTCAGGCGTTCGAAGATCTTCGTGAGGCCATGAGGGGCAGGTGGCACTCCAACGTCGTGGCAGACTACAAGGGCTATGGCAAGCCTGGCTCATACATGCATGCCTCCCGCCAGAAGAAGACTCCGGTATGAAGGCCCAGGGAGGCTATGTTGGTACGCGAGTTGTCTTGGTCTGGAAACAATGAATTGACAAAATGCAGGCTCCTCATCCCTTTTGACTCAAGGTCCACCGCGCGGACAACATGACTGCTATACCTCTTACTCGGCCATCGTCTTCATCAATCTCTCATGGCTCGTCTTCGTCGTCGCTCAGTCATTTGTTCTCTACTCACGCCTCGGCCTCGTGTGGAGAAACACGAAGAAAGATCGCTACATTCTCTACATGATCACTACTAACTCGATCATCTTTGGCCGAAAGATCGCTACATTCTCTACATGATCACTACTAACTCGGTCATCTTTGGCCGAGAGCCACGCCTACCTTCCGATCGCGACTTCCCATAACACCCTCATCGATGCGAAGGATATGGAACGATAGCCAGAGCGACACTTCGAAGGAAGCCAAGTAGGAAGGAAGCCGGCGCGTAGGGCAAGGGGCAGTTAGACCAGCGCAAGGAGATCAGCCTGCGCGCTGTCTCCGGTAGTAGAAGTGGCATCATACAATCGCTCAGCAGATCAATACAGCACTGTACATATCATGATGTCTCCTCCATGCTCGACATGATGATTGACGACGTGAATGTTACACAACGTCACCAGCATCAAGCTGCGCGACAGGCTGGCAGACTGAGCATTTTTCTAGATGCCGTGAGACCACTGGCTCAGATCTGCCGGAAAATTGGCACGGATATAAATCGTGTTTGTGATTTCAACATGCCGCAAGGACAGAGATTGCAGATGAAACCCGGCCTCATGGAGTGACGTGATGTGAACATCAAGGCTGGCGCATAAACTCGTGGAGCTGACTAGACCATATTAAGGCAACTGGAGCATATAATGTAGACGCGGAGATTGCTCAGAGCATGCTTAAGCGCGGGAAAGGCTCATTGATGAAGTCAAAGCCATCGTCAGGTCAAAAAGCGCTGACAAGCTGGAAGCCATCCTCAGTGACGCGTCAAACACCAGTAGCCGGTGGCACGACCATCGCAGCCTCATCAAAACAAGTGACGGGGCTTACCAAGCGAGTGAGGGACTCAGAAGGGGCACGAGCTCAATGTTTGTGCCCGCTCTGGCCAGTCCTTCACCCCCGCGAGACTGGCCATGAAATCTTCTGCCCCACTATACCCGCAGATACCACTTGACCATATAATACATCTAATGGATCTACATTTCACCATCCGGGGCAAGGATGTGTACTTTGTACCGTAGTTAGGCCCACCATCATTAGGATGGTGCAGGTAGATAGTTGCTTCTTCTGTTTACCTTCAAGACTTCCGCTAACATATCCAGGTCTTCCACACGACAGTGTCCAGGCACTATAAAGTTATGAATACAGGTTTTTTTGCTGATTCGATTCTCTAGAGTAGCAAACTGATTGAGGCGAACTGTTCTTTTTGGTTCTGTCTTTTCCCTGACAAAGTGCGGCGGGGGTGCGGAGATTGGCTAGGTGACAGTGCGGAGAATGACGCGTTCCCCATCGCAACATTGGCTCAATCTGCTCGTATAACACCCAAACGAGCACCTGAACGTTCTACTGTGGCTTTCAAGCAGTCTCGTGGTGTTTGTCTGAGTCTTGTACCAACGTTTTTGCTCGGTGACACCATCTCCCGAAGTTGCACTTCACTGCCTTTGCTGCGCATCACTCCGCGTCTGCTCAGTCAGAACGCTTACGAGATGCCCTCTACTCTAATCTTACAAGGGTATCTGTGGCCTGCAGCATCTCCTCTACATTCATCCGTCCTGCTGCTGTAAAGCGCCGACAAAGAGCTCCCAGCTGTTCGCTGGCGATAGTAATCGGCATTAACCAGATCTGATCGCGACGAGCGCGTTGTGTCTTTTCAGCGTCGACTTTTGCTTCATTTCCATTCCTAGAATGCAGACTATCTGCTCCAGCATTGCTAGCTTTGTGACGCAACGTAGCCCAGGGGACATCTTGCAACTCCTGCCCTGGCCTGCCTTCCTTTTTGGGCTCGCATAATGATTCCCTTCGCAATGAGACTTGTTTGAGCAGTATGAGAGCATCGTATCAGTACTGCGAGCCGAGGAGAGTGTTGGCTGTCAGCACTGTCTCCTTCTGCGCATACATGAAGGCAGGCACGGAGCAACGTAAAGATATGAATGTAGACAGCGCTGTATCTGCGCTCCTGGACTGCACCATCATGTAACAGCTGAGCTGGCGATGCTCTTTGATAGAGCTTTTGACCTCCTCAAAGCCTGCACGTTCGACTATTCAGATGAACGCTTACGGCGCCCCTGAAGTGACTCCTAACGTAAAGTCTCTATTCATGTGCTATCAATATTGGATCAGGATGCAGTGATGCGAGCGCAGAGATAGTCATTGGTGCGTTTGTCAGTCCGGCGGAGGAGCGTCGGGGGGCTAGCGCGAGACCAAAACACCAGGCTCGATATCTCTGCTTCACCACTGACGAGCGCCGCCCACCCCGCCCTCACCCCGTCTTCAGAATTACTCTCTGTCCCGAGCACTTCATCTCCAAAAGCCTTTTCATCAATACCTTCCCCGTCGTACCCGCACACGACAAGCAAATCCAGGCCAACATGAACATCCAGCAAGCGCGACAGCCAGACCCGAGCTTCGCTCGTACAACAGCGCTCATGGTCAACATATTCTCCATGACCACAGAAGCGGTCGATCAGCACAAGCTTCTGAGCGCGAGGGAAGTGGGCGGTCAGCTACATCTGCGCTTCCGCCCCAAATGGGATATCAGTCCCGGAATTCTCGCTCGAGAGCGAAGGTCCGTGACAGATGAGAGCTTCAAAGCATTCAAGTCGCACAACTACTGCGTCTTTGCGTGCAAGCTCCTAACGGGTCTTTTGGCTTGGCTAGTCGAGGGTGAGTGGTATTTCGATTGTTTACAAGAGATTCTCACCGCTAACAAACTATGACGCAGAACTACGCCTTCCAATCAATGTCGAAGAGGTGGAGATACACGGGGTCTACGAGATCAGGCCCGTAGTCTGCGTCGAAAGCTCCACGGGCAGGAGAAGGCGGATCGCCCAAAAACACACGGTGTTCAAAATCACCTCCCCAACGACCACGGAGAGGGCGTCTACATCGACCCGTCAGCGCCCCAGTACCTACGACCCGCGGGCGTATACCCCGTCAGGGGATACCCTGCATACCCGGACGAGGAAGTGAGAGTGCCGATAGAGTTCTTCTCCTTGGGATACAATTACTCCCAACACCTCAACAGCGTTCACGAGAACGAAGCCAGTTCGTCACGTTCCCGCACCCTGCGCATAGAATTCCGAACCGAAGCGATCGTGCGAACGGTCAACAATCGGGTATATCAGAAGATGACTGGCTGCGCATGGAAAGACGTCATCAGGAGCGGCAATGATGACAAGTGGGGTGCTCTGGAGCATGATATCCTGAGCTCCGTCAAGACGGATCTCGACGTCCTGGCGAGCTACCTCGACAACAAGTACATCCCGGGCAATCTCGACAGGAACACACACTGGAAAGCCCTGGCTAAATCCTGCATGGGTACCGGTCATGCGAAGGTCATGGAGTCTTTGGAGCGAGCGTCGGGACTCGAGGTGACGCGGCATCAACTTTCTTAGGTAGCTTCTTTGCGCGCGGGCAAAGACCAATTTAATCATTACACCGCAACTCATTGCCCCGTGTTTACAATCACCATTCATGGATTCTACAAGCTCATCTAATCCAAGTATCCTCCAAATTATTTTGCGTGATTCCAGCTACGCAATGTTGAGATGTCTTTCTGGCTGAATTTCCAGCCTTGGCTTACCCGATGATTGAACATATGTACGCCCAAAACAGCGGTTCTCGTATACTATTCACGCAGTACACTGATATCATCTAGATGAAACAGCTTCTGAGGCTGACGATGAGCTTCCGCAGCATGAAACCCGGCATGTATTGTCCTCTGCAGAGTACAGATTGCCTACGTACAAGCCGGCAAGCAACTGATAGGACAGCTAGCCAAGGACTATGTATCTTCTCTATCCCCAACAAGCTTGAGCAACAACCCGGGCCCTTTCCGTCGCTTTCCCACGTACATAGTCTTCTCGATCGCTAGTCGCCATGCCCTCCAGCATCGCCCAGTCGAAGCTCTGCAGCATCTGGCGCAAGCTGATCCCGATTTTGTGCCAATATCCCTGGCAAAGCTCTTTGTGGTCTTCCAGACTCATATCTCTGTGGTACAAGTCGAGTTTGTATTGCCCATCATGGGTGTAATCATGCCAAAACTTGTCGCCGTTTATAATCGCGTTTGTTACTGGCCACCCCAATTGCTCTGCTGTGCCATCGAAGATGATCTCGGATTCGTCTTGCTTGCGGATGAGAAGGACCGAATGGGGCATCGAGGTCTTTTCGTTGCGGATGTGGAGGACTTGGGTCGGCATTGGATTCTCGATTACAGCATACTCGACGTCGGCGTCGTATGCTGTAGGGATAATGTTAATTACTGGGGCCCGGCGAGGAAGCTACGATCAGGGAGTTTACAATGTAGTCGCGTTTCGACCGCCTCGTAGAAGATCGTGCAAAAGGTGTCGCACAGGTTCAGCTTCTTGTAAGAGATCTTGAGCGCTTCTGAGGTCCCTACGGGCACTTGGTCGTGGCTTTGGCGATCGCGTGTCACCAGTATATGGTCGTCGCCAAGATTGCTGGCGCCAAAGGAAGTGACAGAGAATGGGCGAAATGCGGCCACGGCGGCGTTGAATGCGATGAGGAAGAGTTCGAGACTCTCTTTGATCGTGAGTCCGGCTGTTGAAGGTGCGCTGGAAGAGGACATCGTCGACGTTGTTCAGGGATTGGTTCTGTGCGGACAAGTCGTCGGCGGTGACAGTGACAGGAGTGATAAAGTGAGACAGTTGGACCCTTCTTTTCGCTCCGCTCGTGCACCGTCTCCTCTGAACGACATTTTGGACACAAACCCCGCTATTCCCTTCTCAGATCGCGCGATATCTCTCACCTCCGTGACACCCATAACACATTCCGGCCGCCGTCAATCTATGCGCTCTCGCACGCTCGAAACCTACTCCAAACCGCAAGCCACAATGGCAGACCATCCAGGGGTTCCTGTCTGCTTCGAAGATGGCGGATACCGCAGCGTCCGCACTCACGTCCAGGAGAGGGCGGAGCGGGATCTGTATCGCGTCGACCGCATCGTCAACCGCCTGTTTCTCGAATTCAGCGACACGACAAACCGCTTGTCGGTCATGTCTGAGGTTGCCGACGAGAGCGGAAGTTCACTCTGGATAGGAGTGCGCAATATCGAAGGCCATCCAGGCAAGGTATCAGTACTGGAGAACCAATCCATTTCCCTCAAGGCAAGGCATGCGTATCTGTCACACAACAAGTGTGTCCTTGTTCTGAAGGCCTTTGCCCCGACAGTGGCTTTCTTCACCGAAGGTTTGTGTCCGCCATTACATCCAGCGAGACCCAAACTAAGGCTAACATCTTCAGGTCTTACCCCCTCGATAGAAGTACACGAAGCCCATATCGATCACGTCGAGCCCGACCAAGAGGTAGAGGTCACCTACTGGCAGGAGGAATACTCGGAAACGGCTATGCTCACACTACCCGTCGCCGCTTGGCACTCCATGTTCAGGATCACACCGACCGACGAACACAACCTCTGTCGCCCAGAGAAGCCCGCCCGTTTGAACGGTACCGGAACGTACCTTGACCCCACAGCGGCTCAGTACGGTCGTGACCAAGGGCTCAGGGATGCAGGTGTCTATCATACCCTTAGCCCGGAATCCAAGACACTATCCTTCACGAGCCTCGGCTACCATTACTACGAATGTCAATCGGACGAGGAGGAGGACGTTGGACGTGCACCGGTTCGCGCTCTAGAAACGGAGGCATATATTCGAACACTGGACAATGCAATACACAAGGTCGTCGAGGAAGTCGGGGGGCGCGCAGAGCTCTTCGACATGTCGCCTACAAACTTTGAAGCCACATTGGAGCTAATGGCCACTCAAGCTCGGTTAGATCTTCTCAAAGTTGCTGGAGAGCTATATTTCCTCGACCATATCCCGCCTCCAGACACAGAAGAAGGAAGCTCTGGAGATATTAACAGGTATCAGGCGGTGGCTGATCGATGCATGGGCGCAGGCCACAGGAGGTTCCTGCGAGCCTTGAGAGATCGAGTTCCTCGTTCATGGAAGTGTGAGGACGACTTCTTAGATTGTGTTGACGTGGTCGAAGGCAAGGACAGCGAAGGAAGACGCAGTTAAATCCGGGCTCGCAACTTATTCCGTAGAAGTGAACTAGCAGCCGCAGCCAGTGAAAAGGCTCGGCCAAAACATGTCGGGGCATGAAAAATGATGCCAGATTCTTGAAACCAGCATCTTTCCATGCAATAGTCTCAATCGAAATGTCTTTTAATCGCAGTCGTCGACCTTCTCTCCGCCGCGATGAGGTTTGGTGAAGTAGTCTTAGCGTGGTACTAACACCACATCGGTCAATTTCGCCCCACCATGATCTCGTGGAATCTTAACTTCCAGACATCATGTACGGATTGCGCAGTCCATTACCGGCAGAACTTGTCGCGCGATACAGGCGTATGTATCTAGAAAATGAGACTCTCGTGGAGTATCGCGGCTGAAAGCGGACATTAAGTCCTTGACCAACTCCAGCCGTCTCAAGTCTTCAAGTCCTTCGAACGGCCTGCCTTCTCGTGATGTACACAGCATGCCGCTGTTTCATTTTTGCCAGCTGCCGCCATTGCGATACTTGCCATGACCGTCATCGAATATAGCTGCTCGACTGTATCACGTTTTGTCTACTGCATGCGGCACGTCTTCTGTGCCATTGGTGGTGCCAACAACCTTAAGAGTCTTCTCGCTGCCGTTCTGCAAGACTATCCGTGCCGCATGTTTACTATGTCTCTGCCGAGAATCTCTGATACTAGATCTAGATCACGCCAAATCGCTCATGTGCTTTTAAGCTTCAGTACTAGGCGGCACGGCACGTATGTATCAATGCAGCCAGTCGCGCTCAATTAGCCCCCACGAGCAAAAAAAAAGAAACCCGACTTAATGTCGAGCATGCGCTGATTCGAACGCGGGAGCAAAGAGTTCGGTGCCCCCAATTGGGGGCACCTACATCTCTCCTAGGCCACGAGTTAGTGGAATAACGACGAATATTTGCGAATATATAGCCAACAAAGTCGCGAGAGACATGTCCAACATAAGAAGCTGACCCGAATTCGTGGAGTCCCGTTCACGGGCTCTTCACGGAACAAAAAGGAAGTGAACCGCAACGTCCGCAAAGCCAGTGACACGCGGTGAAAACATTCGTCTGCGCACAACAGAAACCGCGGAGCCGAGGTGAAGGGCGGGCAAAAAGCGAGCCCTTTAACTCATTGTTTGTCTCCAAGAAGAGTCGAACGCGGGAGCAAAAAAACGAGATATGGATGCGGAAACAACAAAAGGTTCGGTGCCCGCGGCACCTACATCCTTTCCTGTGACCACTAGTCAGTGGAATAACGACGATTTACTTTATTTATATATCCAACGGACCTTAGTTGGTTCGTGTGCCTTGTAGATTTTGGATTTGTGGCTTCACTGTTGGTGGGCGGGCGATTGGGCGGGCGCAGGACATCGCGCTCCTTCACCCAGCAGGGTCAACTGCGAGTCGATCGCTCGACTCTCGTTCTCCAGCATCCGACAAGAAGGTAATGTTACGGGTGTTGGCTAGACGTCTTCCAACCCATGACCGAGTATAAGACAACGCACTTTATGGCTTCGGCGAGGCTTGTACATACTTCCAGTCGAATGTGCGGTATGTACGAGCAAGAGACTTATTAGCCCTTATGATTGTGTCCTTTTCGTGACTTCCTTTGACTTCGTGCAGATGGCATCTGATCGACTGCGATCTCTGGACTTTGTAGTGCCATCCACCAGCTTCTAGTCTGTTCAACAACAGGATCACAGAGCCGATATTAAATACCGTTTCTGAGCAATGCTCATCCTGATGCAGAATGTATAACATGGTTGCAGACATGCGTCCATCCTCCATGAATGAATCCCGACTCAGGGGTTAATACGCAGCCAACGAGACTGGTACTGCCAGATAATGACATCAGAACTCTGTGCTGGGATGTAAGGAGATTCAACAGCATATCATGATCACACGTGCATGTCTCAAGCTTGACTTGCTCCGGTGACCGCAGCCTTCTAGACTTAGCGGCACATGCGGTCGGTGCAATCTTTACTTGCAGGCTGAGTGCAGCCTTGTCAACGTGTTACGGATGTCGACTTGGCCAGCCACGATTATTGATGCGTTGCGGTCATCATCCGGTCTGAGACAAGGGATAGCCTTTAGCAAGCGCACTGAGACGTCCCCCGATGTAGACTTTGGTATGATTCCAGCTGTGCTGCAATGCCGAGCGTCTCTGTGCCTAGCGAGGGCAGACATAGGCGCTGTGCGCAGTCGGTCGATTTGATGTTCGCAACTTGAGGCGAGGGCGTTGGGGCCTCAGCTCTATGTCCGCAACTTCATCGACAATTCCGCCACCACCCCCGCAACCAACACCACGACGCAAACCACATCACCCCGAAACGACGAAATGAGCATCCGAATGGCT